GGTTAAACCACCAAATGGTTCCCAAGCGTGGCTGTGTCTGCAGCTCACCGCTCCCCCAAGGGATGGGTCAAATGCGGAGAACAAATTTCGTACACACATCAGTGTGTGTGACAAGTAATGGGACTTTAACTTCAGCCGGATCATGCTCTAGGGTTAGTGCGAGGGTTAGGACTGGCCTATTTCACCAAAAGTATGGTGTTTTATCAGGGTTGCATTCCATTCAGTAACTTTTTCCTCGTTTCACAGATGGAACAAATCAGACCATACCTGATCAGCACCAGATCACACCCGATAAGTACCAGACCCGCGTGCACAGCTGAATGAAGGGAATGCAGCACTTGTTAATACCTGTTTTCCCTTCTCTTGGTGTATCTATTTGCTCCGGCAGACTGCCAAAAGGTTTTTCAAGATCTACATCTCATCCACCCCTTCATGATACTTTACTCACATATTTTTGGTAGGTTTTCAAAAAGGTTATTTTCTTGCAAAACACTTTGTAACAACTCTTTTTGGATTCGTTAAGTGCTTCACCGGCGGCATGTAAGGTCTGACTTACACAAAACATCTCATTATCCTGACAAATACAAATGCCAGTTGCACTATGTGTTATTATAGTTGAAAATTAAGATAGTTTTAATGAAGTAACAGCAGCAGCAAACTCATTTACAGCGTAAATTACATGAGTGCGTCTTTAATGTACTCATGTCTGCACTTCCTCTTCTCCAGGAATAAGAAAGTGTGGCTGCTGCTGTGTATAACCCATCGTGTTAAGATCTGCTCTGACTGTCGCCGAGCCCCGCTCACAACAGTCTCATCATCGTGTAAAGTGAGAAATTATTTTTTGTTGAAGGAGCCAGATGCCACTGATTTCATGGCTCCCTGAAATGTATTTTGCTTGGGATCAGCGTGATAACCAGACAATTAGGAGACTGATTGAAGAGAGCGCCGGGAGGCTAAAGGGAAACCACTGGAAAAAAAATAAGATGCTCTCTTTGTGACTCACTGAGGTGCCACGACTTTCTCAAAGGCACTTTGCGGAAAAATCTAGATCGTATTATAAAATCAGGAAAAACCAACCCATACTATAAAATATCAGCAGTGGCTTACTGGAAACATCCGCTTCATTAGAATCCTCTGTGTGTTTGGCATCATTTAAAATACAACAGTACGGGAAGCAGGATTTGGGCGTAGCTCAACCTTGTGTAGATGAGAATCATCTCCCAGATTACACGTGTTGTATTTATCCTCCACCGCTTTAATCCGAGTTGATGGAACAGACTTTGCTTTGGCTGACGGTGGTTATTAGCCACTACAGCCGCTGTACTTAGTCAACACCACCAACAATCCTGTGCTCATCCAACTGAGCTGCACAGTGTGCAAGCAAATGTTAGAAACGTTGGGATTCGTCAAAAAATTCGAGACATTTTGATTATTTTTTATGCAAAAGTATATTTTCTGATTATTCTTCATAGTATGTGACAATCAGAGCTTCCATTATTACCCCCCTTTTCAGCGTTTCCCTCTGATGTTGCATTATAAGAGAAGCAGAGCTGCAAACTTTGAAGTCTTTCAGCTCATATATCCTGTTAAATATCAAAAGCGTGTATTTGTCGTCTCAATAATCCCCACAAAGCTGTTATTCTGCTTTCCGTGCTTCAAGGGGGACTATTTAAAACGGTGCTACATCCTATTAATGGGAAGAGGAGGAGGAAGCAGGTTTTCTCACTTTTTCTATCAGAATTGACTTGAATTCTTTATTTTACAGTTCAGGCACTTTGCGTCCGTCTTACTTCTTTTCCAGTGGAGTGAATGATGTATAGCTGCAAAGCTTTCTGGTGACATGCATTCACCCAAGCTACACCCAATCGTCTAGAGTCAGCAGCTTTTTTGTGAGCACACCTGCATCATAAATTAAGTGATGCGGCCTACATCGCTTATCCTGTTTTATGCAATAAGAAAAGTAATCTAATTACGATTCTTACTTGCTTTTATGTTGGTTTGTGTATTGGTGGCAGTGATTGAAATGGGTTTGAATGAAGGCAACTGGACTTCTTTGGTTTTTGAAGATGTTTCGCTTCACGTCGGAGGAGTTTTGTCAATTTTGACTGAAATGTGGGAGTCAAGCTTTTAAACTGAGCTGAAACTACCTATGAATACCCCTCCTCCCTATCTCCTGAGGAGTCGTTGGAGTCGTTAGGCTCTATTGTATGGGAATGGTTGTTTTGATTAGATGCACGAGGGTGAGACCAAGACTGAAACTGTTTTGGAGGTTATAAGTTTATTAGGTAATAAGCTTGACTCCCATAAGAAGTCCGGTTGCCTTCATTCAAACCCTTTTGGATTACCATGACCTGGATGACTGAGAACCTTCACCAGTATATAGACATGAGTGACACATTTTACATCAGTTCTCAATTTGTATCAAATTCATACCGTTATTGATGGATGTGGATTAGTCACTGGATCAAAGGCGCATCGAAGTGCCTGTCTATGGCGTATAAGTGAACTTACATACATTCTTTCTACCTACTTATCCAAGTTTTCCAAAGGGACAACCATGCATCCCTATCCCGAGAGGGAGGGAGGATGCCTATGCATTCCCAGGCAGATGAGTTCATGGGCCCACCTTTGGATTTCCTAACTATCTTGGCTGAAGGAGCAGCAACTCTATTCTTAGCTCTTCTCTTCTCCAGTTCAGAGCTCCTCATCAAATCTCTAGAGCTATGTTACCCCATGGAGGAAGTTCGTTTAAGCTGCTTGGATCTGGGATCTTCTTCCAAACTGTGTTACCCTTGATGAGGGTTGGAATTTAGGTGGACCAGTAAAACCAGAACTTACGCTTTTGGCTCAGCTCTTTGTTCACTGTGCACTACACCAGTCAGGAGCAACATCCTACCACTGCATCCTCTATCTTCTCAGGATGAGCAGCCATTTAGCACCTTCTAGAGCCCTAGAACCCCCCCAAGGTGCTTTACAACACAGCAGTCATTCACCCATTCACAGTCACATTCACTCACTGCTGGTGATGAGCTACAGTTGACACAGCTGCCCTGGGGCACACTGACAGAGGCGAGGTTGCTGTATGCAGACATCATTAGTCCCTCTGACCACCACCAGAAAGCAAGGACAGTGAGGTGCCTTGCCCAAGGACGCCTGAACTGCAACCCTCCGATTAGGGGGCAGGCACTGAACTCCTCTTATTATCCAACCTGGATAATGTCATCCGCGTCTTCCCGGTTGAGAGCCATGGTCTTGGACTTTGCGCACATAGGTACCTTAAATTCATTCTACTTATTTTATGGCTGATCATGTTATCCTGTTAGCATGTAGCTCTTGACATTCAGTGTGCACTGGGATAGTCATTGAGTTTGTAATTTTAACCACACATCTTGGCCATTAGAAGACTCCAGAGCTCTGTAAATGTGAATCAATCCCCATGTTTTGCTTCCAATGTGGTCATTGTTGGAAATTTTGCCGCCAATCCTCATCCTTTGAATTTTATTTTCCTTTGATCTAATTGTCAAGCTGTTTCATCAAACATCCTTTAAAGTGAAGAGCAGTGAGCTCATTATTAATGTCAGATAGAGGACATATTAGAAGAAGAAACTAAAAAACAACCAACAAAGAATGTGGACCAAATGCTGCATACACCTGGTCAAACTTGTTGATGTTCTGAAAACTGTGATCCTTGATAAATGGTCTTCTTACCATCATAAAACATACAATCTGGCCCTTTTCCTAATGTAATATTGACTTTTATTGTGAAAGGCAAACACTGGTTGCTGATCACAGATTTCTGACCCAAGGATTTTTCACAATCATGTTTTAAAAAACGTTTAAACATTGACAATGCTCTTTTTTTCTGCTCCATACATTTTCTATAGGTGCTGCACCACAAACTGACAGTAGAGTCAGTCAAGGGCAGCTACACAGAGAGTATTTGGACAATACATGAGATTCTGTCTCCTTTTTATATCTTAAGACGTCACATTTTTTTTGTAAAGGCATCAAAATAAAGGACGTCTCACAACAGCAAGGTCAAATAATGCATTTTTCATAGCAAAACAGAACTGATTTCATGCTTCAGCAAGACCTAAAAAGGCACATCTAAGTTAAAAATCCACCTCAAGAGCAGAGAATTTACTCTCTTGATACTTTCAGGTCTACCTGGAATGCATATTTTTCCAAAGGAATGCTCAGGCTGACAGAGCATGTCTGAAATGCTCACCTAGGTAGAATTGCTAGTTTTATTGCCAAGATCTTTCACTTACAAACATTTCATAAAACAAAAGCTAAGCTGTCTTTTATTTTGTCATTTAAAGCAAAAAAATTTTCTTTTTTTCTTCTTTTTGAGTCGTTTAATGTCTGTTCTCATCTTAGTTTTTTTTCACTGCCTCTCTTATTACTCACCGCACACGACATATGCTCCGAGCCTCGTCATGAGCCCGGCGGTGTTAAAACATCCAAATCAAGCCTTCTTCAGTTATTTTTAATAAAGTCGAGTCATCCTTGGGGGCAGAGTGCCAACGCTTCATGGCTGTGATTCACGACTCAGAGGGCAGTATCAGTCACCAAGCAGCACACTGACATTATAAGCTTAGACGACCTTTTAATAGCAAAGTAACTCCTTAAGTCCAAAGATATTTGCATCATCGGCATAACGGGACAAATGGAAAGAACAGTGCAGGGAATTTTATTGCTGCCTGTGTGAGTTCTCGCGGTCGGCTAGTTTGAAGTTCACATCAGTACAGATTTACGAGTTCCAATTTAATTGGAGGGAATTAGGAGACATTTAGCCTCGAATGTCCATCAAATTAATCTCTAACTCTGTTCTTGTTCTTCTGTCTTCTAGGACATCCAGAATGGCTTTTGGGATTAACCTCCACTCTTGGTAGAACTCCCTTCAAGTTCACGCCTGTTTGAACAGCCACTCAAAGTCTGGATAAAAACACAATGTAAACAAAGCTTTGCTGTTTTTTTTTTCTTTTTCTTTTTTTTCTTTTTTTTTTTTTTTTTTGGAAAACCCTTTGTCGTTCAGCCATGAAGCTTAAAGGAACTCCTTGGACCAATATTTCCATATTTTGGATTTGAATCTTTGATTTTTTTTAACTCTTTGCTGGGACCCGTCAGCAGCGGTGGCTGCTGGTGGTGGCGGCCGCGGCGGCGGTGGGAGGACCTTGCCGCCTCAGAACACAAGGATACATTTCCATACGTGTACGCCACCATGAGGATATCCACCACCTCTTGCCTCTGTCCCTTTTTGGTCTGTCTCTGCTTCATCCAGAGGTGCTCTGGGACCGGCCACCATGTCCCCACTAAAGTGCCCTCCAAGAACCAGACCAAACTGGCCAACGGGGAGACGGAGGTGCACCATAGGCCCAAACGTGGCTGGATCTGGAACCAGTTCTTTGTTTTAGAAGAACACATGGGACCAGATGCTCAGTATGTGGGAAAGGTAGGAATTTTCACAGAATTGACTTACACTTAAAAGAAAAGGATTGTTTTCATCCCAGGGAAACTGCTTTTGAAAAGCTTACTCGGCATTTTTCTTGCTCTTCTAGTTTATTGAGAAAAGGGTTACAAACAGAACAAGCTGTTCTGTTGTTGTAGAGTCAGCATTGTACAAGCTTTTTTTATCTTGTGATGCACAAATGTGGGTCTCATTTTTAAAGGTGTGTGTGTTCCTTTCTTTTTACATTACGTATATCTGTCTGCTCTTCTCTGTGTCCAAAAAATGTTTCATTCTCAGTAATTAATGAATGCCTCCCAGGTTGTCTGCCGTTCTGGGAAAGCAGCTATGAAAGAGTGGATTAAGTCTGACAGAGAGAAAAGGCCTGCACATCAAATTAACTTTCAACTAAAATGTTGGATTTTACTCTGAGAGAAGCAGCCCCATGGTGCAAAGGCGACCATAGGGATGAGCCGGATACTCGTTTCAGACGAGTATCCGGTACGGATAAAGCATTTTTGACAAACATGAGCATGAAACGAGTAAAACTCGTAAATATCTGTAATCGTGCTGAAGGAAAATCCTCATTGGGTAACTGACTGTCTTCACGCTCTGTGATTGGCCAGTCACATAGAGCGCCCGCCCCTCCCTACACACAAAACTTTGCAGCTGGGAGCTCAGTCCGCGTCCGGTCCATCCACGCTTACACACACACACACACACACACACACACACACACACACACACACACACACACACACACACACACACACACACACACACAAAGACAGTAACGGATCTCTCTGTGCTTGCTTCACTGTTGCTCACGTTTCTTCAGAACTCCCTAGGTTTTCTTCAGCTCGCCTCTTTTTCAGTTTAATATTTAAAGTTACTTTTTTCGTAACGTACGTGGTGCATTTGACAAGACAGAGCTGAAAACGGCTCCTGCTGCGTCGGTCACTCGGGTTTTCTCTCTCTCTCTCTCTCTCTCTCTCTCTCTCTCTTCTCTCTCTCTCTCTCTCTCTCTCTCTCTCTCTCTCTCTCTCTCTCTCTCTCTCTCTCTCTCTCTCTCTCTCTCTCTCTCTCATACAATGAGTGATACAAACAGCTGAGACTCAATCAAATTATTTATAATTTAAATAATCAAATAAAAATAAAATAAAAAGTTGTGTCTGGTTCTACTATTTCATATTTCCTAGTTCCTACTGCATGAGTTCAGATGCATTAATTCATGCATTTTAATATTAATGTTCTGATTTTATTGAAAAATTTGTTCCGTAATAGTTCCTTTACTATTGTGATCAAAAATATTAATCTCAGTTCTGAGGCTGCTCTGTAAAATAAACAACACACATAGCAACTTCTGATCAATCCATATCAATTTCAGACTTAAAATAATGTATTGATGTAAACCACGCCCACTTCATGTCACACGACACCCACTTCCGGGTTAGGCCACGCCCACTCCAAGTACAGATACAGATGTACTCGCTCATCCCTAACCGACCACCTTTCTTCCTAGAATTATGTAAGATGGCATGACTGATGCCACTCAGAGTAGGGCTGCTCCTTTATGGATGTAATAATTTTGGTCAGTTATGTTATTTAACATGATTGCTCAGTGAGTTTGAAAACATCTCATTTACTTATCCTTTATAAAAGAAAATCCACAAGAAAGTGAAACTCAAACACTAGATTCTATATTATGATCTGCTTACTATGTTAGTTCATATAATATAGTTGAATGTTTTGTATTAATTTGGAAGTGTATACTTTCAAATCTTCATATCAAGAGTAAAAAAATATTTTAAGCCTAAAATACTCAGAATGTCTTGATTTCTAGGCTTTCACTTCAATATTTTAGCGTTCATTCCTGGTCCTCGAGGCTCCAGCATGTTTTTGTTGTTTCTTGCTCCAACCCACCTGATTGAACGAGTAATTTGCTAGTTCAGCAGGTCATCTAGCTCTGCGAAGGCCTGGTAAATATCCAATGATTAAAACTGGGTGTGTTGAAGCAGGATGGTGGTCCCTTGAGGGTCAGGAGTGGACTGTTTCAGTGTTGTTTAGTTGTTAAAACTTAGTATTACTTTAATAAACCTTAATTAAAATCGACTTAGCATAGATTACGGCAGAAGTCTCTTTTAACAGACATGTTTAGGTTAAGAACAAAAAGATTTTTACAACATTTAGACAATAAACGAACATAAACACCAAACAATTAGACTCAATTTTCTAATCGACTGACAGCAAAGTACTTAAGAAAACAGAGAAAAGCTGCAATGGGAGTCTGATCATTCACTTTGGAAGTCAGCAGCATTGATGCTTAAAAATCTAACTGCATGGATTATTTCCACAGTCTACATTAGAGAGAGAGAGAGAGAGAGAGAGAGAGAGAGAGAGAGAGAGAGAGAGAGAGAGAGAGAGAGAGAGAGAGAGAGAGAGAGAGAGAGAGAGAGAGAGAGAGAGAGAGAGAGAGAGAGAGAGAGAGTGCGTAATTTCCATAAAATACTGTTTAAATAACATTCAAAACGAGGAATTAAACTTATAAAATGTCTTTTTTTCTGTCAATGGCTTCATTGCCAAGCAAAAGTTCTATTTCTATACTGTAAACTCACAATTGCAAACAACAAAGGCATTTTCCATGTTTCTGTTTTATTTATTAATGTTTTGCCCTAAGTTTTTCTTTTCACAATAAAAACTGTATCCTGTTACATGGTTATTTGAATAAAAAGGCATAAGCCAATCACCTGCACCGACAGGTTAAATGTGTACAGGAGATCTGCATTCAAAATCTTCTAAATCAAATCAAAGCAAAGATACTTTATTAATCCCAGAGAGAAATTATTAATCCCAGAGGGAAATTAGAGTTTCAGTACACACAATTCAGGGATCAGACATACATGGGCAAGACACATGACAAGAATTGGTGACTGTGGTCATTCGCAATCCTGAGTCGTGCTACCTTAATAGAGATCAGAGGGTTTTACATGAGGATTGGTTCAGGTCGAGAGAAAAAAAGGCACTTCAGAGTTACCCTCCACCAGGAGGGCAGCTTTGCTCTGCAAAAAAACACCTCAGACAGATATGCAACAGACTTCAGACAACATAAGTGTCCACTAGGTGGAGTGGTGGGTTGGGACTATCCCCACTTCAGTTCCTGCAGCCACGATAAGCAGCGCATGTCACCTCAGTGTGGATAGGAGGAGGAGCATTGAGGGTTGGAGGGTTGCAGTAACCCTTGAACGTTTCAGCGGCCTTCCCGCAGTCCCACCCAGGCTGGGAAAGGAGACAGAGTTGAGTTGCCATAGCAACGGCACATTCCACATATCTTCTGAGGGGGGAGTTTTCGTTGGAGCCTTGCAGGCTCAAGGGCGCCAGATTCTGATTAGAAATTGTTTTGGGGCCAGACAGAAATAATTTCCTCTCTTGTCTTGCAGTTTGTTGGTCCTCAACCTCTCAAAATCCCAATAATGGACATGAATCTATCCCAATCCGTGCTGATTCGTCCACTCTCTCCTTGATGGCATCCATCTTTTGTGCCAATGAATGAATCTCCACCAAAGTTCCAAGCTTACGATTCATCTCGACAATCATTTGAGTGTGTGAATTCACAGCGCGGTGCAAACCATCTCTGAGCTCCGGGATCAGGCCAATATTCCTCGACAGCTCGTTAATTTTCCGGTAAGCCAGGTAGCCTCCAAGACCAAAGAGCAGGAAATCTGACACCAACACCACGAATATCCACACGTCTTCAGAGTCCTCCACAGACAGCAGAGATAGACAGATCGAGTTCCACTGTTTCCAGGAGTCCATGATGTGTCCAACTGGGTCTGTCCCGGAGGGGCATCCGGGAGCCCCTTCCCCCGTTCTCATTGTTGAAAAAAATTTATCAATCGCGTTGAGAGACCAACTGACGAGATCCATTTTAGTGAATTTCAGTTTCCGTTTCCAGAAAAAATGCAGAAGCAGCCGTGCACCCAGCACACACAGACAGAAAAAGGGCCTTGAGGAAACAAAAACCGATGCATCTTTGAGAAAATTGATTATATCACTGGTGTGTTTTGCCCTTGTTCTGCAATTTTTCCTAGGTGACTTTTTAAAACTCCAAAAATTTAAATAAATAATCAGAAGTGCACATTATTCAAAAAGGTATGATAAAATAAGCATGCTTGTAGAGTCGAATGTGACAAAATAATAGTAATTATCTTTATTTTTTTACTGCAGTTTTTCTAATCGATTGGTACCAGAATTGAATTACATATTTGATTAATTGCACAGACCTACATTAGAGTTTTACATTAGGATTTCTCTGCTTGGTGCAATTATTATTGGTCGTTGGTGGTGGTGTTCCTGTTTGTCCCATAGTAGGCCACAGGGAGCTGGGTGAGTCCTCTGCTTGCAGATTGCTTCTCCTTATTTCCTAAAATGTGAAAATGTGGTTCTCCTCGCTGCAGTGATCTTCATTCTAGGCACTCAGGCGCAGGCTAATCCTCAACTGCACTCAGAGAGGAGGGAAAAAAGAAGAATGGCTCTCTGACTTCACACATGTCTGCAATTCAACTGTCATTTGACAGGAAAAAGAAGAGAGGACGATGATATGTTTGGACAAAGGCTGAGAAAAAGAACAGCAAACAGCAGATGTCTGCTTATTGAATCAACCTGGGGGTTTTATTCATGCAACACCCCACGAGAGAAATGTTGTTGACTATTAAAACGTGTTTATTCTGCTGTTTGAGCAGAAAAATAGGAAATATTTCAGTGAATTAGGGCCAGTTTAGGGAAACCAAAACGTCACAAATATGTGATTATTTATACATGAAACAGTTCACTTTACTCTGAAGTGCATCATTGTTTGGCTGCTTTGTGCTGATGCTAATGCTCGGTGTGTGTGATGAAATCAGAATATGCATAAACAGCTAATCCTGGATGATAATAAAGCATCAGGAAGAAACATAAACATTATTAGTGAATCAATTTGACATGCATGTATAAAGAGATGAGGTCTC